GAGCTCCCTACGGGCCCACGAAACGCTGTACTGGGTGGTGGCCGACGCACGCGGCCGGAACAATTGAGGCATTCGATGGAGCTCCCAATGGGGCCACGGAGGGGGGACGCATGCGAGCGGTGCCACTGGGACCTTCGGTGGAGCTCCCTATGGGCCCACGAAACGCTGTACTGGGTGGGGGGTCGCATGCGAGCGGGCCACTGGAACTCCCTACGGGGCCACGAAACGCTGTATCGGGTGGGGGGACGCATGCGGGCGGTGACACTGGGGCTTGGTGGAGTTCCCAATCAGTGGGGCCGCGAAAGGTAATACCGGGTGGGTGGTGGACGACGCATTCGGGCGGTCCCACTGGGGTCATTATGCGGAGTTCCCTACGGGCCCACGAAATGCTGTACTGGGTGGTGGGTGACGCATGCGGGCGGTGCCACTGGGACCTTCGGTGGAACTCCCCATGGGGCCACGAAGCGCTGTACTGGGTGGTGGCTGACGCAGGCGGGCGGTCCCACTGGGACCTTCGGTGAAGCTCCCATATTGGGACCACGAAACGCTGTACTGGGTGGAGGCTGACGCATGCGAGCGGAGCTAGTAAGGCCTTCGGTGGAGCTCCCTACGAGGCGACGTAACACTGTACTGGACGATTGCTGACGCATGCGGGCGGTGCCACTGGGACCTTCGGTGGAGCTCCCATATTGGGACCACGAAACGCTGTACTGGGTGGTGGGTGACGCATGCGGGCGGTGCCACTAGGGCCTTCGGTTGAGCCCCCCATGGGGCCACCACGAAACGCTGTACTGGGTGGTGGGTGACGCACGCGGGCGGCGCCAGGTGGGGCCTTCGGTGGAGCTCCCAATGGGGCCACCACGAAACGCTGTACTGGGTGGTGGGTGACGCATGCGGGCGGCGCCAGGTTTCGGTGGAGCCCCCCATGGGCCCACGAAACGCTGTAATGGGTGGTGGCCGACGCATGCGGGCGGTGCCACTGGGGCCTTTGGAGGAGCCCCCCATGAGGCCACGAAACGCTGTACTGGGTGGTGGCTGACGCTTTCGGTGGAGCTCCCTACGAGGCTACGTGGCGCTGTACTGGACGGTTGCTGACGCATGCGGGCGGTGCCACCGGGACCTTCGGTGGAGCGCTGTACTGGGTGGTGGCTGACGCATTCGGGCGGTGCCAGTAAGGCCTTCGGTGAAGCTCCTTATGGGGCCACGACACGCTGTACTGGGTGGTGGCTGACGCATGCGGGCGGTGCCACTGGGGCCTTCGATGGAGCCCCCTTATGGGACCACGAAACGCTGTACTGGGTGGTGGCCGACGCACGCGAGCGGTGCCAGGTGGGGCCTTCGGTGGAGCTCCCAATGGGGCCACGAATCGCTGTACTGGGTGGTGGGTGACGCATGCGGGCGGTCCCACTGGGGGGGCTTTCGGCTCCCCCTATGGGGCCACGAAACGCTGTACTGGGTGGTGGCTGACGCATGAGGGCGGTCTCACTGGGACCTTCGGGGGCCACGAAGCGCTGTGCTGGGTGGTGGCTGACGCATGCGGGCGGTGCCACTGGGGTTTTCGGTGGAGCTCCCTTATGGGGCCACGAAACGCTGTGCTGGGTGGGGGTCGCATGCGGGCGGTCCCATTGGAGCATTCGGTGGAGCTCCCTACGGGGCCGCGAAACGCTGCACTGGGATGCGGGCGGTGCCACTGGGGCCTTCGGTTGAGCCCTCTATGGGACCACGAAGCGCTGTACTGGGTGGCGGCTGCACATGCGGGCGGTGCCACCGGGGCCTTCGGTGGAGCCCCTACGGGGCCACGAAACGCTGTACTGGGTGGGTGAAAGGCAGGGAGGAAGGAGAAGGGGGAAGAGGAAGGAGGAGGGAGGATGGCGGGAGGAGAACGCGGGGACCGTTTCTTCAAAACGAGGACCCAACACCACGGGATGGTTGGGAAAAAAGAAAGATGAGGAGGAGAAGGAGGAGGAAGCAACCGCCCGCAGCTTCCTCCGAGGGGTGCGGACAGCGCCGCAGCGAGAGCGTCGTCCCGTCGGACAGGGTCTCGACGGAAGTTCACGAGTATGGCATAAGCTGCCGCGGGAGCACCACTTTCACCAATGCTTAGGGCAACAACCCGAAAAAAAAGCCCTGCTCCTCCCCATCCGCACCCCTAATGCTCTCCCAGCTCTTGCCCCCCAAAAAGCAATTCGTACTTTATGAGGTCGCCTTCCCGGGATCAAGGTCGTTTCCGACTCCCGACTCTGCGAACGGAGAGGGAGTCAACGCAACGCGGAGGGAGGGGTAGGACGTCAGATGTGGCGCGAGCGCAACTAGGTTGCGTGGCCTCATTCCTAGTTTCTCCCTCCCTCCTCCAAGTGTTCCCCCAAGGGTTTCCACAAAGGCTGGATGGAACATAGATTTCAATAGTTTGGTCAGACTTTGGCCCAACGTTTGGCCACATAGGCATGTCCCAAAGGCAAAGAACGGCTATGATTCGACGCAGGCGTCTTCGATCCGCTGCCCCAAACGTATGCTTCGCGCGCCAAATTGTACGTCAAGTTGGCCCTTCCAAGAAACTCCCAATGGCATTCGGCACCTCCCGCCAGCCACAAATCGGAAGAGCAAAACAACATGGCTCCAAATTGCCAAAACGATGGCCTCCAATACGGCCCAAGATGCCTCAAGGTTGTTTCCAAGACGGCGCAAGACGCTTCAAGACGGCTCCAAGACGGCCCTGGAGGCCCCCAAGACGCGTCCAAGACGCCCTAGGGAGCACCCAAGACGCTTCAATTATTCAATATGCCCTGCTCCGAAGGGGCCATGATGGCCAAAGATGGCCCCAAGACGGCGCAAGATGGCTCAAAGATGGCCCAAAATGTCCCCAAGAGGCCATGCCACCAAACTGCGCCAAAGAGGCGCCTAGGATGTCCCGAGAGGCCCCGAAAAGGGCACCACCATTTCCTCAACGGCCCACTCTTTCTCCTCCTCATCATCCTCCTACTCCCCCTCCTCTTTCTCCTCCTCATCCTCGGAATCGTTATCATCACCATCATCATCATCATCATCATCATCATCATCATCATCATCATCAGCAGCAGCAGCAGCAGCAGCGGCATCGTTATCATCGTCAGCATCATCATCATAATCAGCATCATCATCAGCATCATCATCGGCATCATCATCCTCATCACCATCACCATCACCATCACCATCACCATCACAATCACCATCATCATCATCATCAGCATCATCATCAGCAAGAGCTTCACTCCCCACAATGCTCCCACTCTGCGGGTTCCCTCGGCCCCACGCCGCCCCACGCCGCCCCACACCCGGGCCGTCTCGGTGTCGTGGCCGTCGCAGACGCCGATCGTGTGCAAGGTGAGAGACCTGCCACGGCTCGCTGCCAGTTTTGCCAACCCCTCATCATCCTAATACTCCTCATCCTCATCCTCCGCCCCCTCCTCATCGTTCAACTGCTCCTCCTCCTCCATCTCCTCATCATCATCAGCAGCGGCATCAGCATCAGCATCCGCATCAGCATCAGCATCAGCATCAGCATCAGCATCATGATAATGATCATGATCATGATCATGATCATCCTCATCATCCTCATTATCCTCATCATCCCCATCATCCTCATCCTCATCCTCATCCTCACCCTCATCCTCATCCTCATCCTCATCCTCATCCTCATCCTCCTCATCCTCCTCATCCTCATCCTCAACCTCATCCTCCTCCTCCTCATCATGATCATCATCATCATCATCATCATCATCACCACCATCATCATCATCATCATCATCATCATCATCATCATCATCATCATCATCATCATCATCATCATCATCATCATCATCATCATCATCATCATCATCATCATCATCATCATCATCATCATCATCATCATCATCATCATCATCATCATCATCATCATCATCATCATCATCATCATCATCATCATCATCATCATCATCATCATCATCATCATCATCATCATCATCATCATCATCATCATCACATCATCATCATCATCATCATCATCATCATCATCATCATCATCATCATCATCATCATCATCATCATCATCATCATCATCATCATCATCATCATCATCATCATCCCTCGTCTTCCTCCTCCCCCTCCTCCTCGCCCTCCAGCCCGCCCTGGCTACGCGCGGTGCCACGATGCCCACGCCGAAGGCCGTGAGCCAGCCAAAGGCAGCGGCGGTCAACACATCAGCCAGACGGAGGAGCGGCAAGGCCTCGACGAGGCCCAGAACCTTCGACCCCGCAGCGCCGTCTGTCAGGGGCGCCACGCAAGAAGCTCGCCCAGCACCTTGTCATTGCGGCGCGCGGACACCCCCAAAGCGCAAGAAGCGGCACACCTTCCGTCGACGCCGAGCTCCCCGCCGCGCCTGGAGCACGCGCCAGGGGTCACGAAGACCGGAACGCCTCCCCGCAGGCGCGCCGCAACCAGGAACTTCCCTGGGAGAAGCGCCGGCGCCCCGCAGAGCTCCCAGAGCCAGCCGCGGTCGGCGCTGGGCGTCCGCGGATCACGGAGAAGCGCCAGGCGTCGACATGGCGGCGGGCCACGAGATCAGCCAGACGCGCCTGGAGGCCCAGCGTGGCCGGAGGGCGCCCGAAATCGTCTGCGCTGGGCGGGGCAAGGAACGCGTCGGCGCCCGTCGCCAACGGAGGACCCGAGGGGGGAGACAGCAACGCGAGCCCCGCGAGCTGCGCGGCCCGCGTCAGCCGCGCATGCCTGGAGATGCTGGGCAGCAACATCTGCAGCCGAGGCCGGATGCTCAGCCTGCCACGCAGCCCTCGCGCCAGACGATCTGAACCCCACTGCGCCAGCAGCGCATCGCGCGTCACGGCTTTGGCGCTGGATCGAAGATCTCGTCTGCCAAGCCCCGCGCCTCCACGCGGCTGACGAGGAATGCTGGGTGGCGCAGGCCAACGGCACGGCAGGGGCAAAAACCCCCGTCCATGGTCGCACAGGTGGCCGGATCCACCAGCCTCCCAGGACGCCGCCAAGCGCCTGAATCTGGTGCACATCGAACGAAACAAAGCTCACGCGCGGCACCTCCAGCCCAGCCGGCCGCAGCAGGCGGACAATCCAATCTGGCGCACCGTTGGCCGAGATCCGCGGGAAGGCCAGCTCCGCGTGGGGGGCTTCCACAGGCGCGAAGGCTTCGCTCAAGGCGTCGAGTGGCTGCCATGACTTGCGCCAACTGCCCCGCGACAGCGGCAACGGCTTCTTCCACCCCGAGGACTCTGCCTGTTGGCTTCTCCAGCGACGGGACCAGGCAATTGGCCGCGACGACGCCATTCAGTCGCCCAGTCAGGGGGCACTAACCTGGCAGCCGCGCCACGGCCGCCAAACGCGCCACGCTCTTGAAAATCACGTCGGGGGCCAGCGGGGTTCTGTCGCGAGCGGGAATGGCCGCATCGAGCGCCTCGAAGTTAGGCAGCCACATGGGCCAGCGGGAGCAGGACCTGGCCATCGTCCATACATAAGCCGTCCCACACTCAGCCGCCAGCAGCCTCTACGGAGCGGCGTCCTGCGTCAACCCACTCAAGCAGAAAGAGGCCGCAGTACGCCAAGCCAAGTGGATCGCATTGCTTGCCACACCCCTCGGGCGCAGGCCTGCCAGGTGCCGGCGGGGAGCCGAACCCAAACAGGCTCGTTGTGGCTCCATGCTGCCCGGCGTGCCACCGACGGCGCGTGGGCGCAAAACGCTTGGCGCACGGCCGCCCGCTCGAAGGAGGGAGCTACGTTCTGCAGGTCGAAGTCCAGAAGGGCGGCCACTTCCCCAAGCGGCGCCCCTGCCGCCGAGCACCAGCGCACACCAACACTTCCGCCCCGCCTGGCAGACAAACTCCGCAATGCCGGTGCGCGATAACGAGACACTGGAGATGCGTCTTGCTGTCAGCAGCTATCACCTTGGCGAACCACCCGTCTCCACAATTCACCGACGCAGATCGGGCACCGACCTCAAACTTATCCGCACGGACGTCCGTCATACTCATGTGGCTGTCGAAGGAGTCCAAACGCTTAGAAGGGGAGAAGGGGTCGTGCTCAGATCCGTCAGGTTGCTGTCCATCCTGCGGAAAGTCTTCCTCTGGTCCTTCATTGCGGAGGTCACTTGGCCCAGCTGCTGCTGGAGCTGTTGCTGAAGGAGGGTCGCGATGTCCTTCGTGGTGATCGGACCCTCTTCGTGAAATTCTTCACGGAGGGAAGAAGGCGGAAGAACGGTATCCTTCTCCTCAAGCCTGGCCATCTCGGTGAGCGGGCTGTGGATGCGGTAAATCTTCGCCCCAAGGCCCTTCGGAGTCTCATCGAAGGGGGTCGAAGGGAGATTACACAGTGGAGCGCCCACTGCTTCTGGAAGTCGCGCCCTCCATTGCATCGGGGAGATGGTTCGCAAGTCCGCTCGTCAAATTGATCGAAGACGACTGAAGAGCGGCAGCATCGGCAGCCTCGGAGGCCGGCATGGAGGGCGTGACCGGAGTGATGCGAATCGTAATGATGCAAAGACAGGCTTACCGCTGCCCAATGCAGGGCGTCTCGAGCCAAAACCGCAGGGCAGGGCCCCATGAGGGGGAATCCGGACTGACCTGCCGAGCATTCCCCGAAACATGGCCGCGAGACCACCAGCAGGGTCCCAATAGGCCCCACAGAGGTCCGCGGAGACCAAAAAGATTGCCCCAAGTCAACAACGCCACCAAAGGGGCTCCCAGACGCCTCCCGAGAGACAACAAGAAGCCTCTTTAAGACGCGCCTTGTCCACGACCCCGTTTGGTCTTAAGACTGCCCTAAGAAGCGATCGAGATGCCTCCTCCTCCTCCTCCTCCTCCTCCTCCTCGTCCTCGAGCACACCAACATAGAAGCAGTGATGCAACATGGGCCGGCGGAATCAGCGAAGCGATTAAATTCACCCAGTCGTGGCCTTGTTGAAGGCTCGGAGGGTGGACGATGAAAGCGAGGATTATGGAGGAGAGGGAGCAGCATGTATGAGGCATGCTAAGAGGGGTTTCGCCCAATCCGTTTATGCATTCTCCTGGGACACGCCAGGGCACTAGTTATCAGCGCCCCCAGGACCACGAAAGCCGAGAGTCGGCACACCACTCACACATGTCTTGCCTCCCCAAACCTGCGAGACATGCAAAACAAGAGGAATTCGGGGAACAATTTTCCCAGGAGCCCAAGTTGACATCCCTGACGCACTTCGCGCATCATGGAAGCTCGGCTGGCCCCAAAGAGTGCTCCTCGCGGCCTCAATTTGGCACACAGACCATGCATTTCGTGCTCAAGGGACATCCAGGGGCGATCCGCTGGCCCTCAAGACGGCGAAAGTGAACCTCGATTCGGCGCACTCCTCACGCACTTCGTGGCTCATGGACTTCCAAAGGTCCCCTGTTGGTTCCGAAGACCGCTTGCCCCCCCGAAGGGACGCCAAGATGGCCCTGAGAAGACTTGCGTCGAGTTGTACCGATCCGCGTCAAAGCCGCACCCCGGACACCCACTGATTGCAACATCTGTGCGTGTTTCCCTCTGGGGGCCCGCCGTGAGTCCCGCTCTGCGGGCTCAATTCGGCGGGCTCCCTGCGGGCCTCAGCCATGTTAACTTGCCATCAAATAATGAACTGGAGGATGATGGAGGAGAGTGGTGTTATGCATGCATAGAGGCATGCTAGCAGCGTCCACGCGCACTCCACCGACCAATGATGCTTCGATGATGTCCCGGAGAGGCAGATGTCCTCCCATTGTCCTAGAACATATGGAACACTATTGAAATTCGTTCCGTGGGCTACGAAAGTCTTCAATACGGCACACACACACACCTTACACAATTCCTGCCCCATGCTAGGACGAGGGCGAAGCCACTCGAACGATCTGCGCCCTCAGGTTCATGGGCGACGTAAAAATCCTAGCGACCTAGGCCTCGAGATTCCGGCGTAGTGTTAACAGAACAATAACTAATTCGTCCTCCCGTACCCATGAAAACCTCAGTTCTGCACAAGCCCCACGCCCTTCGTGCACGTCGGGTGTTCAGTTGGCTCTCGATGCGGTTCCTCGGACGGAGCTTAAAGTTGGAAGAAGTTGCGCGGATGCGTTGGGAAAGCGCAGATTGGGGGTCTTTTTCCTCCAACGCAGCTCGAACAAAGGGCCTTCGGGCATGCTACGAATCGATGGCGTCCGAGTCACTCGAGATCCCGAGCACGCCGCCTGGCCGAGCGGGGGCGGGCGGTGAGCCCGCTCCTCCTCGGACGCCCCTCGGGCAACCACCCCCTCCAGGTAGAAAGCGAAACTTAAAACCCTCAGCGCCTCGACGCGTAGTCGCGGAGGTCTAGGCTCGCGCCCATGGCGTATCTAAACAGTACGCGGCTCAAGGCCCTACTCGGACCACACCCCCTGTTCTCTCGGTCCACAAGGTTGGAAACGGGGGCTGGTCGTCCACCAGGTGTACTTGACCTGGCTCTGGGGGGCAACCGTCCTTCTGCGGTCGCCCTCCCTAGTCTTGAGCTTCACTGCTGGCCCGCTCGACCCCGCGATCGGAGCGCGCTGCGGCCTCCCGCCGTCGCCGCCGCGCGGCAGGGCACCCGCGCGGCACCAACTAGGCCTCGCGCACGGACACAACCAGCAAGTCAAGGAAAACCCGAGCAAAGCAAGCAGAAGCCCTAGGCTCACGCCCGCCATCAGCACAATCATGCTCACGTAGTAGCCCTCAGTCGCGACCCCTGACATGGCCACTGGAGTCAACGCACTCCTGCCCATATCCTGCGGTGCCTCGCACAGCTCGGTCGAGCTTCCCTGCGCCGCCGTGGGGAGCGACGCAGCCGCCGCAAGCAACACCTTCAACAAGGTTGACTGGGCCTGGAAGTCGGTCGGCATGGCCCCGACTCCAGCTACCCTCGAGGCCCCTGGCACCGGCGCCTCCATCAACCCGCAGATCTCGCGGAGCCACTCGAGGCGCGCCCTCGGCCCGCGGCAGCACCTTCGCGCCGAGATCCGCCAGGTTTTCGTCGCCAGCTACAGGCTCGATGGTGATGGCCTTCTTGGCCGCCAACTGCTGCGTCCAAAGCGACTTGGTGGCAAGGTGCCTGATCCGCCCAGTGCCCTGACGCCTCGCCAGCGCTCTCGCACTCGAGTTGTCGCATTGCCAGCTCGCGCGCACGCCGTGGCCCATGAACGCGAAGAGCGCCTTCAGCCCAAGTCCTTCGCTGAGGCCTCGGGCTCCAGCGCGCCACTCGGCTTCGCAGCTGCTGAGGGGCTGCGCGTCTTGGCGACAGCTGGTCCCGTGCATTCGGCGCCCGCCCGCGCGCGGTGATGTGCACGCTGGTCAGGCTCTTCCGCTACTTCATGTCGCCTGCCCAGTCGGAGTCTGTCCAGGCGACCAGGTCGACGATGTCTCGCGGCGCGGTGGGCTTGGCCATCCTCGCGCCCAGGTCCCGCTTGCCCTTCAGGCACCTCGCCAGCCTCTTGGGGGCTCGCACGCCCGCCCACGGGGCGATGAGATGCACGAGGTCAGGTATTTAATGCCGAACTGAGCATCTTCACGGTCATGAAGGTAAAACAGCAGGCACATGGTCACGCTCTTGAACAGCTTGGCGTCGTCTGGGCTGAGGCCGGGCGAGTCATCCCCGCCTGTCCTGCGCGCCTCCACCCCTGGGGTGGCGCGCGGGCTGCCCCCCTCAAGGCCCGGCGCCCCAGGCGCCGTCGCGAGGTGCTTCTCGCCGGGCTGAGCGCAGGCAGCGTCGGCCTCTCGCGCGCGCCGCCCCTTGAGAAACTCGTTGTCGGCACCGTCGCCCTGTAGGCCTGACCGCTCCACCATGATGTCACGGCCCAGGTCCAGCGCGAAGCGGGCCCCTGCGACTCCAAGCGCTGCGCCACACATGTCGCCCATGCGCAGCCCCACCAGACATGGGGGCTCGGCGCGCCAGGAGAATTGAGGCGCGGTCGGCGACCGCTCGAACCCCCTGGCCATGAGCTGCTCGGCGGCGAACTCGACACAGCGCTTCCCGCCAGCACGCCGCCCTGGCAACTGCTTCGCGAGCTGCCAAACGTAGTCCTCGGTGTCGCCCTTCGCGCGGCACTCTTCCTGGCCTTCGGGTGGGCACTCGACCCGCGCGCCCCCCTCCTCCTCGGGGACATGGTAGCGCGCGTCCTCCGCCCATCCGTGCTTCAGAGCCACGTAGTCCACCACTCGGCTGTCGGCCATGCTGCCCCCTGGCGCGAAGACTGAAGTAACGGACGGCGGGCGGAAGCATCTGGCAAGAGCAAACCAGGGGAGTTGTCCGAAAGATGGGTTCGGCAGACTTTCTCGCCGCACAAAATAATGAACAAAACATGTGCGCGACATTGGCCGTCGCGGAACTGCTTCGGGCGGAATCAAATATCCTGCACTTATAACGCTGACGACGCTTGTGTCGCGCGAATGTCACAGGGCGACCGCGCCACGGCACCCGCCCCAGAC